TTGTGGCATCACATCGTTGTGTGCCATATCTAAACTGTTCGAGTTGGTCGTTATGGAACCATTAGTTTCTCACTTCAAGCAGCACTTGAGCGAAGACCAGCACGGTTTCATGGCAAGGTGGTCGACTACTTCCAACTTTCTGTGTCTCAACTCGTACATTACGGAGAGTATGACAGACCATATGTAAACAGATGTCATCTACACAGACCTATCAGCCGCCTTCGGCAAGTTGAACCATCCTATAGCGATTGCCAAACTTAATAGGCTCGGTATAAACAGCAGTCTCCTACGATGGTTCGCATCCTATCTATCTGATCGTCAGTTGGAAGTTGCAATCGACGACTGCCGATCTCCTTCGTTCCCTGCCGGCTGCCACTTCGGGTATTCTGCAAGGTAGCCACCTCGGCCCGTTGATATTTCTTGTGTATTTCAACGTCGTCAATTTCATCCGCGACGGTCCACGACTGTCGTTCGCAGACGACATGAAAACCTATTTCCTAATTCGAGCCATCGCTGACTGCCACCTTCTCCAACTCCAACTCAACGCTTTTGCTAATTGATGCCAACTGAACCGCATGGTTTTAAATCCAACAAAATGTTCAGTAATCACTTTCTCACGGAAGAGCGGCGTTGACGTACATCATGTGAATCACATTAAGGATCTGGGAGTCATCTTAGATTGTCGACTCACATACAGCCAGCATATCTCGTAAGTGATCGACAAGGCATCCAGAACCCTCGGCTTCATTTTCAGGATAGCTAAAAGTTTCACGGACATCTACTGTACTCGTCCGGTCGGTGTTAGAATACTGCTCCCCTGTATGGAATCCCAATTACCAAAACAGTGTACAAAGAGTAGAGTCAATTCAACGACGTTTCATCTGGTTTGCCCTTCGACGATTGCCTTGGAGGGATCCTCATCGCCTTCCAAGCTACGAAAGTGGGTGCCAGTTATTTCACCTGGATCTTTTGTGGACTCGAAGAGATACGACAAGGCCCTGTTTGTGGCAGACATTCTACAGGGCAGAATCGATTTTCCTTCTATTCTACAACAAATCGACGTTAACGTTCAACCACGAGCACTCCGTAACAACGCAATGCAATGCTGAGGATACCTTTTCGTCGTACAAACTATAGTTCGTATGGTGCTATCAATGGGCTTTTCAATCGTGTTGGTTCCTTATTTGATTTTCACTTGGCACGCGAGACGCTGCGTCAGAGATTCCGTGATATATTTTTAAGAATAAGAAATGAAGTTGAACTTCATGGCCTTTGTAGCTCGTTACTTCTTGACTATATTGTATTTCCTAGTATTGCTTAATCCATCATTAGGACTTAACCCAGTATGTTGATGTAGAAGCAAATTAACAAATAAACAAATAATAACGATGTTTAAAATGCCGCTAATTTGACTAAAATCCACCTGCTATGAAAAAAGTTGTAAATCCACCATTTTACTGAAATTACTCAAACTCACAACATACTCCGCCAATGAAGTCCAAAGCTATACTGATAAATCAATAAATAGTTGTTCATTAGACAAGATTTCAAAAATATATCTATTCACAGTCTTTCAAAGAATGACCTATTCAGGTGTATGCTTAATTTTGAGATACCCTGTATATCGTTACGAAAGATCCAAAGGAGCTGTTTTTCTGCTCCTCTTCAGTTTAGACACATTTATCTATTATATTGGCTGGTTTGTCTCGGAAGGTCCTGTAGAGGATCCTGCTTCGCCCTGTGGAAATGCCTGTTGAAATTCTTCGTCATTCAGTTTTTGTTTCTTCGGGCAGCCCAGGAACACTGTTTCCCTTTTGAGAAGCCTTCGCAACTTCCGGTGATGAACCACCATTTTCACTAGGTTTGAGGTCTACTACGCCGGATCGTGTGCACCTGGTCGAGCCTCTGACCAGACAAAATGGCGACTTGGTAAGGTCCTGTAAGGGTAATTTGTATTTCTATGTGTATTTGTATTTAAAATAATTCATCTGACAGTTTAGTCTTAATAAATAAAATTAAAGCTAATTTAACACAGACCTAATCCGATTTGCAAAACATCCAGTTGGAACATTGTACTCGTAAAACTATTCTCTTCTCTAATCTAGCACCAACACAGCCAGTTCTTGAAAGCAAGAAATTTACAAGAAATCTGTGAAAAATCACCGAACTGTTTACCGAACGTTCAGCAGTTCAGATTTCGGTAAAATTTCACAGATTTCGGTGAAATAATCTTAGTGTGTATACCTACATCATTTTTCTTGTCTATTTGAAATATGTTTCACATCGAAGATGCGTAACACATATCAAAACGGCCAGGCCTACTGTGCAGCATTTAAGGGGCACGATGAATCAGAAAACATCGGGCCTGTTTAAATCGAAGATTTAAACACGATGCTTCAGAATCCAATAAATGGATGAAACGTGGACATCTCGTACCGTACGTTCCGATTTTGGTTAATATATGATTGGTTGGTCGTTGGAAGCATCAAAACTAGAAAGGTTAAGTGATGCTCCATTTTCTTCTGACGGTTAGGGCATGAGCACTAACTCTTGTCCTAGCCTTTTATGACTTATGGCTATAGTGCCATAACTCGCTTTCTGAATAGAGAAGAGGGAAAGGAAAATGAGAAGGACAAAGGGGAAAGGATTACGTGAAATCTATGAACATAAACAATATTTTTGATTTAAAATATACAATATAGACAAAATGAATAACGGAGCGGTGGTCACTACCGAGTCTTGTCACTATTATCAAGTCATAAAAAGTAACAAGAACTAAAATGTGATCGTTTGATTACTGGATAATCCTGATTCCCTAGTTTGAAGTTGTCACGACTAGAGTTCGGTGGCGGATCTTATACCAGTAACGCACCAAAAAAAGATGATCTCCCAACGTTACTGGTTTGAAAAGATAAAAATTTACAAAACGGAACGAACTCACCAAGTTTAACTAATTGAACCTGAAGGCTGCCTGACATGTGTTGATGTAGAAGTCCAAATTGTAGACGAAGCTTGACGAAGCTTAACGAAGATCAACATGAACTAGTCCGGTTTATGGTAGTTGCGCGGCATGTCTTCTTTCGCATATTGAACTAGAAAAACTCTTCGACAGCCGTAAACGCACGAATACACGCTGAGATTGGTTCGTTGTTCCCAAATAAAGGTTTGGTGAAAACTTGGTTGCAATAACGTTGAATTCTGAAGAGATCTGCTCGGCACACGAAATTTCAGCATTGCAAGCAGTACGGGGCATCAGTTTGACCATTCAACAGCTTAGCAACAAGCAACGATTGCTGTACTTTCCGTCGTCGTTCCAGTGCGTCTAAGCGCAACAGCCGGCATCTATCAGGATATGCCGGCAAATTGTCAGGATCACTCCACGGCAAGTTTCTCAGTGCCAGACGAAAGGCACCACGTGACATGCTGAGGATGCCAAACGATGGACGCATTTTCCAAAATTGAACGGACAAGTGCACAGTACAATGACTTCCAACAATGTGGGTCTGAAAAATCCTTCGCAACTGTGGAAATAAAGCTCAACTGTCGCGTTGTTTTCAATATGATCGATATGAGTCTAGTTGAACCCCCAGATCAGTCACACCTGTCCTCGGTAGAACTGTTTCAAACACACAGTTGGTACTTGAGCGGGTCGGTTTTCATCTCTTTTTGCCAGTGGTGGCGGGGGGGGGGGGGGACACCCCTCACCATCCCTCTCCAAAGGAAGAGTTTGGTAAAGAGAGATGAAAAAACCGATTTGTACCTTCCTTAAAAGTTGTCCTAGCTCGCTTGTCTAATATCTATATACAATCTTCACACTGCCGTACTCTAACGGAACTATCAACTCTATGCTTTCATCTACTCCATCTATCGTATAAAAATTACCACTACAGTCTGTTATTTGAAATTAGCATCTTCAACTATGTAAATCGTTGACTTCACGTAGAAGTAATACTAAAAACATATAGTCAAAGTGCATAAGTTTTTTTTTAGCAATATGTGATATTTAGGTTTTCATCGGTTTTATTTTAATTTATAAATAAAACACATTTTGGATTATTTTTTTTTTTCAGAAGTTAATTTTTTTTTTCAGAAGTTTTCGCAATAACTTTGTCTCATACGTCATCAGAAATGCCGTTTCCGGTCTACAATTTCTTGAAAAATTTCAAGGGTGGCATTTAAAAATTGTAAAAAATCCAACATGGACGAATTTTAGCGAAAATGTGAATCATTTCCCATAACAATCAATTAAGCAAAGTTTCATACAAATCGGAGAAGGTCAATTCAAAAATTCTCAAGAGCAAAGTACTCAAGCACAACGGAAGAAACCATCGCATCTAAACAGCTCCTAGATATAAGTATAGGGTAATATGCCAATTGATACACACCACCCAAATGTTGCATACTTCACTTTGTTACTGTACAGCATTTATCCAAGACCATGACGTTTACCATTCATGGGGACATGCTAATCAGTGATCAATTCAGTGCCAACATTTCAAAGGGGCGTAATTGCTTTTGTAAACAATGACCTTAGCCGTCAATTTCTCGCGAATGAAATCTTACCTCTACAAAAACATTCCTCTACCTGGTGGTGTCATTATTTTTCATGAGTGAGCTATTATTCGCGAGAAATCGACGGCTAAAGCCATTGTTTACAAATGCAATTACGCCCCTTTGAAATGTTGGCACTGAATTGTTGGACGGTATTTTTTGGAACTCTCTGCCCAGGGTTAACTTTACAAAACAAACCCGAAATTTACATTGTCAGCCATCCACTCGACTGACCGGAAACCACGGACATCCATCACAGCCAGTTCGGGTAAAACAAACAACAAAAAGCTTTTCACCGCACCGACAGGTGAAAACCGTTTCGTTTCAGTCAATCGCATCTGGTTGAAATGCAAACACAATTCCTATAACAAGAACAAACGCACAGCTCCAACGTTTTCAGAAACAATCGTTTATTTCACATGTCTGATGCTTTTTTCCAGTTCCCTAGTCTAGCTCCTGTTGACACTGTTCGTGATGCGGTTGGTGATGCGGTTCGGCAGGTTGGGCATGGTGGCATTTTCCGCTCCCGGTGCTCCACCGGCTGGCATTTCTGGGGTGGAAGGCATTTCCGGAGTCGACGGCATTTCCGGAGTCGAAGGCATCTCCGGCGTAGATGGCATCTCAGGTACGGTGCCATTCATGGCCGGAACAGCTGGTACACCGCCTGGCATTTGCGGAGCTGCGTGGATGGCTATGAATGGTACAAGAGGATTGGGAACAAACGAGTAAAAACGGAGCGCTTTTTTATAAATCTTGTTTTAAGATTAGCAAATGCACTTACCTACGAAGGCCAGAACAATGACAATTGCAAATTTGCAGAACATATTGGATGGGGGTGTGGCTGGATGGATTCGGTGCGAATGCTTGAACGGTTAGAACGAGCAGTTGTTTTTATACACGTAGCCATAGAAATTAGCAGAAGTGAAGTTAAATTATTAATTTCTCCACTAATCTGGTAGCTTATCACCGAGTAGAGCAATTATATTCATATTAAAAACTGGAAAAGCAAATTAGGGTCATATCAGGGCAGACATAGAATTATGTTTGGGTTTCATTATACTGTAATATTTAACCGATGATTTGTTTTGAATTTATTTGACGTTGCGAAAAGGCCTAGCAGAGGGCGTACCATTTCTGATGACAAGCACAACGGCTTAACAAAAAGGGCCTATCCATCGAAAGATTCACAAAAAGGCTTATTAAATTATGAAATTAAATTGTTATCGATTTTCATATATTGTTGAAAGCTTTTCGCATATTTTGGATGTTGTATACTGAGATACAGTTACTATTGTTATTGTGAACAATATAAATCCCTAAAATACTTCAATTTTCCTAAATATGAATTGAATGGTGATGGAAAAATTTAAAATTCATGTTCTGGCTTGTTTACGTTTTGGACATAGGCCCATTTCAAATGTTACTCTAGATTTATTTATTGTTGTGGTCATAAAAATTTCATTAGATTTTCGGCATGATTGATTAGATGTAATATTAAAATTTATTTTTTGCTGTGCACGAGCTGCTATAGGACTTTATGTTTCTATGTCTAATGTATTTTGATTGTCCAAGTCAGCCTTTATGGTGGCATTTGTGACCACCATCATTTAATTCTTCACTACACAACCGATACCTGCTGAGCTTTTTTTAAATTATGCAAATTAAAAGTGAACTTATCAAAGGCGTACTCGTCTCGACACAACGTGAAAGTTATTATTAATTTAATACCCAATGCAAAAGGCCCTATCAAAACTTCAATATTGTACCTTTATCGGAAGCTACCTTGAACAAAAAGAAAATTAGCACCGTTTAGCTGCAAAGATGATAACACTCACCCATTCCAACTTTCTAGTATAAAAATAGCCCCATTCTTTTCAATTGGCATCAGTCACCTGAAGTTAGTTCTGTATTCAGTATCAATCAACTCACAAACAATTCCCTAAAAATGTTCAAATTCGCAGCGTTTGCCCTCGTTCTGGTTGCCATTGGTGAGTTTACTTTGTCAATAAATTTCTTCTTCTAACAGCATCCACTACATATCATTATCTATCCTCCGTTCCAACAGCCATCAACGCCGCTCCCCAGTTGCCAACAATGCCAGCAGCACCAGTGAACGGCACGGTTCCTGAGATGCCATCCACCCCGGAAATGCCATCAACCCCCGAGATGCCATCGACCCCGGAGATGCCCTCGACGCCGGAAATGCCAGCTGGAGGTGCCCCGGGAGTCGAGAATGCCACTATGCCCAACCTGCCAAACCGCATCACCAACCGCATCACGAACGGTGTCAACCGTGTCAATAGCCACAACTAAAAGAACTGGCGGTAGATCGGCGGAAACGTGAAGCAAGGGAACAGATCTGAGAGAACGGGAACGTTTGGAAATGTATAAATAAATTAATGGAAGAGTTCGTTTCAAAATGGTTTGGGATGCTCCGGTCGGTGGCGTGAAATATCACAGCCTTTTTTTGTGTGGATTCAGCACACTTTCATCTGAAAATAAATACGTAATTTTGATCAAATTCCCAACGCATTAAAAGAAGGCACATTATTATCATTTTACTTATATGTCATACTATTTTAGGAGATCTCGTGGGGACAACTCTTAACAAATCTCGAAAATGCAGGGAGGATTTTGTTTTGCTATCGTTAGATGCGCTCGCGATGCGTAGATGAATAGAAGGGCTATTAAGATTAAAGCATGCAACGTGGCTGGCCACTGGTTTTAAGAAATTAAAAAAAAATCTAGTTTTTCTCGGGTGCCCGGTTTCATTTAAACAGCAAAATATGACGGCATGGCTGATTTCTGAAATTGGTGCCTCAAAAAATCAGGCTCCAAGATCACAACAGATTGTTAAATTATGTTTGATTTATTTTTTAACAATCCATTTATTTTATAATGCTCAAATATGGAAGCTTTGCGGAGCCGGAATTCATTAAACTTTTTACAAAGTTTCATAAAGACTGACTGATAGTAAATTGGTAAGCACTAAAAGACTTATAATTCGTGATTCAATAAGTTTAAATTGTCCATTAATGGTTGATTTACAGTACTTTTGGTAAAACTTCAAAGTTACAGCATTAAATGGTTAGGTTTCTCCAGTTCGATCGAAATCTCGAACCTTCCTCTTGATGGAGCCCATCAGCACCCGCACAGTGGAAACCAAGGTGACTACAAATAGGTGTTCTAATGTGTCAAATTCATGATTCAGCCATGTTGGATTTTTGTATGGGACAGCGACCGAGTTTGTTTACAATTTGCTCTAAAACCGCACTTTTCCCCCCCGCGACCTCCTCGCCTATATAGTGACAAAGCTGTATCACCATTTATATACCCACCATGGTGGAAACGGACACGGAATCAGCGTATTTCTTCTATTTTGCCCGCATTTTCTGAATGCCCCGCCGCTTCGTCGAAGTCGCTGCTTTGAAATTGCCAGCATTTTTCGATTGGTCGAAATTCTGGGCAATTCGGAGGTTTCATTAGCTTGAAGACAAAATCGATCTTGTTGGCAGCATACGACTCCAGAACCACCTTGGAATACTGGCAGCTGGCCAAATCGGGCTAAAAGATGACTTCGCCCCTATGCTTGCGTATGAACGGCAATACCCGCTTTTCCAGGCATTCTTCGATAAAAAATTGGGATGTCATCGTCGAGGATGTGGCGAAGGGTTCCATTTACAGGCAACAACTGCAAATCGCTTGCCAAATCATGGCCTTCTTCGCGAACTTTTCGGGAAACACGAACTTGAATCTTCCCGGCACATCCCCACGTCCTCTCGTGATGTAAAACTTTTGACCGGGAAGCTGCTTAAAATCGAGTTTGACGTATGTTTCGTCATCGATCAAATTGCAGCCCTTGTGTTTCGTCAAAACTATTGGATGGAAGGCAACAATTTCCGAACCCCCAAACGGCCGAACCCAGCAGCGCAAAGCTTGTTTGCGTGCTGTCATAGCGAAAGCACAACTTAAAATGAGAGACGCTTTTCTATGCGATCACACCGTCTACTGCGATCGCCCATTTTACTTATTATCGTTTCTTCTCTCGTACTGTACACATGTGTTGAATAAATCAGTTTACTTTTATTATCAAACCAATTAATTCCGGTGTTATTATTTAACCTGCTAGCTCAGCCCAATAGGTTATGAGCCCAGTGTAACGCGGAGTTTGTGTACATTTGTGGACAATAGTGAAAACCCGGAACGTGAAGTGTTTTTTCAAGAACGAATAATTTTGCGTCGCGAGTGAAAAACAAAATGGCTGATGCAAAGGTTTCGTTGGAGAAACTGAACGACCAGAACTATTCGATCTGGAAGTTCAAGATGGAGCTTCTGCTGGTGAAGGAGGAACTGTCAAAGCTGGTGACGGATCCAAAGCCTGAAGCGGTCAGTGTGGAGTGGCTCGCGAAAGACGGGAAGGCTCGCGCTATGATCGGCTTGGCGGTGGACGACGGTCAGCTGGTTCACATCATTCGGAAGCAGACGGCGAAGGAGATGTGGGACTCATTGAAGCAGATTCACGAGGCGACGTCCCTATCTTCGACACTTCACATCTTACGAAAGCTGTGTTCGCTGCGGCTATCGGAAGAGGGTGATCTTCCCGAGCACCTGAACGAGATGACGGATTTGGAGAATCGTTTGGATGTGATTGGGGAAGGTCTGAAAGATCGTGTTTTCATGGCGCTAATTTTGTCGAGCCTTCCGCCATCGTACGGCAGCTTGATTAACGTGATCGAAAACAAGCCGGAGAACGAAATTACGGCGGATTTCGTGAAGAGCAAGCTGCGCGACGAATGGCGTCGTCACTTCGAGTGCAACGGTGGAAGTGTGCAGAGCAGCGATAAGGTGATGAAAAGTGTGAAGTCTAAAACGACGGACAAGAAGAAGAAAGGTGTGTGCCATTACTGCCAAGAAGAAGGTCATTTTCGACGGGAGTGTCCGAAGTTGACCAAAGGTAGGCATGAGAAGAAGAAGTCGGAAGATGGAAAGGCGAATTTGGCTGCTGAAGTTCCGGACGGGATGGAGATGTGCCTGATGGCTGTGACGACCTCTAGCGCAAACCGGTGGTACTTGGACTCCGGTGCTACGTCTCACATGACCAGTGACAAGAAGCTCCTGAAGAACGTGAACGCAGCGAAGCAGCCGGAAATTTGTCTGGCCGACGGAACCAAAATCAAGTCGAGCGGTGCTGGAAGCGGAAAAGTGGTGTCAGTTACCGGCAAAGGTATTCGGATGGGTGTCACTTTGAATGACGTGTACCATGTCCCTTCGTTGTCAGGAAACCTGCTCTCGGTGAGTAAAATTTGTGATTTGGGTTACAATGTTTTATTCGATCGAGCTGGATGCAGAGTTTTGAAAGGTCAGGAAGCTGAGCTGGTGGGCGAGAGGAGTGGTGGCTTGTACTGCTTGAAGCAATTTTCTCACCAAGCACTTGTGACCAAGACTGCGCATCCGGACCTGTGTCAGCACCTGTGGCATCGAAGGTTCGGGCATCGTGATCCTGAGGCGGTATCAAAGATAGTGCGTGAAGGATCGGGCTTCGGGCTGAAAATGCAGAAATGTGATATTCAGTCCGTTTGTGGAGTGTGCTGTGAAGGAAAGATGAGCCGTATACCATTTCCAAAAGAATCCAGCAGCAAGTCTGAAGCTGTGGGCGATTTAGTACATTCAGACCTTGGAGGGCCAATGGAGAAGGCAACACCCAGTGGGTACAGGTACTACATGACGATGGTGGACGACTATAGTTGCTACACGGTAGTTTATTTGGTGAAAGCAAAGTCGGACACTGAACAGAAGATCAGGGAATACTGTGCGTTGGTGAAGAACCAGTTTGGGCGTGCTCCGAAAG